AGACTTGAGATTTATTATAAGGTTAGAGTAATTTAAAAAGTGCAGTGATGGCATGAAAACAAATAAACCGATTGATTGAAATCCAGAGAAGATCAGATGCACAGTGACCAGACTTCTGTCAATAGTGACATTATTCTGCAGTGAGAAAAGATGGCCTTTACTACAAACAGTGCTGAGTCAGTCAGGTTCCCATTTGGGCTCCCCTTCTGTACACCACTCACAAAAATTAACTTCAGCTGTGAAAAGAAAAGCAGTACTCATTTAGAAGTTAACCTAGGAAAAAATTTTCATCACATTGGGACAAGAATGATTTGTTCAACAGGATGTTAAAAGTACTAGCTGTGAGAAAAATATAAAAAAATCAGACAATATTAAAAATTAAAACTTCTGCTCATTGAAAGAGGTTAAGGGAATGAAAGGCAAACTCACAGAGTGGGGAAGATATTTGCATGCACATATCTAATATAGGATCTGTATCCAGAATATATTTGTTCAACTCATATAAATCAATAGGAAAAGGGTAATCTAATAGAAAACTGGGCAAAAAGACTAGCAGGCACCTTACAAAGGAGGGTATGAAAATGGCCAATGTAAGAGCTAAACATCTTTCTCATCAGGGGACCCAAATTAAAACTAGATACAATACTACATTCTCATCAGAATAGCTAATTTAAAAAACACTTGTAATCTCAAACACTGGTGAGGTGGTGGAGTAACTGGAACTCTGTCACAGACTCTCCTAGCAGGAAAATTTGTATAATGTTGATATTTTTTGGCATTATCTGCTAAAACTGAACACATATGAGCCCTATGATGCAGCCAATTTCACTCAAATACATAACAAACATAACTGTGTATATGTGATGTACCAGAAGACATGTACAATGATGTTCACAGCTGCATTACTTGTAATAGCAAAAGACTGGATATGCACACATACTCATTAACAAGAAAAATATACAAATACAGAATATCCACATAATGCAATGGAGAAGAAATGAGTGTCTGCTCCACATAGCAATGTGGTTGAATCTCCCAAGCACATTACTGAGTAAAAACAAATAGATACAGAAAAGCATATACTATATGATAATCTGCACAATTCCATTTATAAAAATTCAAAATCAAAATTCATTGTAGTAAGTCAAAAGAGCAGCTGTCTTTGGGTAGAATGGTCAGCCATCTGGGTTGCCCAAAAAATGTTGTGTATTTTCATGTGGATGGTGGTTTAAGACAATGATATCACTTATTTTTAAAAAGTTGATCTTTAGTGGTAGAAGTCAGAATCATGGGAGTGGTGATTATGAAGGAGCACAGGAGGTTTCGTTAGCTGCTGGTAGTCTTGATAGAGGTAGCAGGGACTTGGGCACATTCCCTCTGTACATTCATCAAGCTGCTCACTAAGGGTTTCTGCCCCTTTTGGTATGGATTTATTTGTTTTTTTATTTCAAAAAACTTTTGCTCAAAAAAAAAAAGCACTTCAATGGGTGCTCTCATTTAATTCTCAAATGTCCCATGAAAATTGTTCTTACTGTTAGGCACAGTGGCACATATGCTTATCATCCCAGAGGCTTGAGAGGCTGAGGCAGGAGCATCCCAAATTCAAACCAGCCTCAGCAACTTAGCAAGACCCTGTCTGTAAATGAAAAAAAAAAATTATAGGGGCTGGGGAAGTGGCTCAATGGTTAAGGACCCCTGGATTTTATTCTTGGTAACAGAAGGGGGGAAAAAAAGAAAAGAAAATTGGTCTATGACCCTCCCCCTCCCCAATTTTACAGATGAAGGATCTGAGCCCTATCAAGTTCAAGGGTCTTAATCAAGCTTAAACAGCTAGTAAGTTATAAATCTGGGGTTCCAGGGCTTATAGTCTGTCAATTGTCCCTGACATCTGGTCACATGTGCACTCAGAAAGCTACACACTGTCCACCCACCCAGCCAGTTCCTCTTAGCCTCTCAGCCTAACAGAGGGATGCTGTGAATTACCTTTTCCTCCACCCATCAGCCTCTAGGGCTGAGGAGGGGCCGGTTTGTTTGCCTTGGATCTCAGGGAAATACTGTGGCCAGCACACACTGGATTTCCTGTAACTGGAAAAGAGTGATGTAATGGCATTGACAAGTGTGGAAAACAGCCCTCACCGCGAGCAGTGTGTCATGGCTGCCTCAGACAGGCCCTCGGCTGGCCCGTTCCGCCATGCACCTCTGGCGCACACACCCCTTCCCACTCCTCTCCAAGCCCCCAAGACTGCTCTCTTCTAAGAACTCCAGGAGGGAAAACATTAGCGTTTCGTTCATTCTAGAACACTGCCTTTCCCCAAAAACAGAGGGCAGCCTATCAGCTACGAATGTTTCCTGGTGTGAGTTGGAAAATGAGAAGGGACATTTTGTTGGAAAACCTGCAGAGATTTTTCAGAGACCTCATGAGGAGTGACTGGTTCCTGCCATTTCTTCAAGACTGTAAGTAAATCCAAGTAAGCAGGAGGCAGTGAGGTCCAAGAAACAGGGGAGCATTCTCATGTTGGCAGATTAGGAGCCCCTTCTACTCACATAGCAAAGGAGGGGCCAGACTCAGGAAGAAGCCTTCAGCTCCTTCAGAAAGGTAAGTGTGGGATTTGAGCAGCAAAAGACACAGTGTAACAAAGAAGGAGGCCTGGAGCTCCCTGGTCAGTTACTGATCAGGCTAAACAGTTCCTGGTTTTGTGTTCTGACTCTTCCCACCAAGAAGGACTCAAGTTCCTAGTGCACAGCCTACTAACATCTCTAGAAAAATCACCAAGACCCAAAGATTTGCCTCATCCAGAAATTTTCCATTGGGTTCCTCTGCGTTCACACTACCATGACCCATTCTTGTCACTTACCTACTCAGCTGCATTTTATTTTTTGTTCACCATTCTTTGGTTCACTCACATTCATTTAACAAATGCTTTTTGGTATCTCCTGTGTGCTCTTAGAAATTCCCTGTGAACAAGAGACATTCATCTTCTCTTCCCCAGGTCACACAGTTAAGTGTTCCTAATTCAATTTCTAAATGTAATTACATCCAGATAGCATTTACTGAATGCCTGCTATGTGCTGGGCACTATCATAGCCCTTTTACGTGTATTATCTTATTAATCCTGACAATACTGCAGGGAAACTTCTAATTTTTATAGGTCAAGAAACTGAGGCACAAAAGCTAAAGGTAATTTCCCTTTGGCTCCATAGCTAGAAAGTGACTCAGCTAGGATTTAAGCCAGCAAGTCCTGTTTCATGGTCCATGCTCTTAACTGCTTAATATGCCTAGGTAGAGGAACAGAAAAAAGCTCTGGAATTCTATATACCAATATCAATCAAAGTCAGGTTGTTATTTGGAGGTAGAAAGAGAGTAGAATGATTAGTGATCTTTATTATTTATTCTTATTATATATTCTATATTCTTGCGCACACACGTTTTCTCTCTCCCCCCACAACATATTACATTTATAATCAGAAAAAAGTGGGTAAAGAAAGCATGTGCAGAGTAGGTTTGCAGGAATGAGCCAGCTAAAGGACCACTGAGGGTTAAGGCTGGGTAGAGACATCTCTCCCTCAGGAAGTGCCACATGAGCGAGAGGGGAGTCTTCAACCCAGGAGTGGCTCAGCAACTCTGCCCAGCCAGAAGCCTTTTGATGACATAGTGTGGTATTCACAATTAGGAAGATTCTAAAGTAGGTAAGATTTTTAGTGACCGTACTGGCCTCATGGGAACAATATGTGCCCAGGGAACAAACATGTTGCATAACCACCAGCTCTGAGAAGGTTAACTGCACAAAAATACCTGCTGCAGAGGCTCCGTGTCAGCTCAGTTGCTGTGACAGGTTGCCAGTGACCCAGGCTGTAGAGACCTCAACAACCATTACCGTTCTGTGGAGTAGACAATTATGTTACTCTTACTTCAGTGACGTTCTCTTATTCCCATGTCTGTAAGTTTATTTACAGCAATAAAGGATGAGTGCTATTTTACTCAAAGGAAAGGACATCTAATTAAGCAATTCATTCTGTGGCAGGTATTGTATCCTTTATATCTTTTCATCAAACAAATATATGAGGTAAAATATGACTATTCCCAATTTACAGATAAGAAAATTGAAGCTTGGAGAGATCAAGTAACTTGTCAAATAGCAGTTTTCCAGGATATGGCCTGAGAATCAAAAAGAAACCCACCCTTTAAAAAATGGACTAAACTTAAGGGGAAAAAAAAAACATTGGTCAAAAGAAAATGCATCTTCAACTTCTCCACTGAAAATATCAAAAATGAAGAAACTGGAGAGGGCACCCAGTCTCTGGAAAATTCATTTGCTTTTCATACAGTACACCTGATACCTTATTTGCTCAACTAATGATATTTTAAGCCAAAATAACACTTTTCATGGCCTGATGTGGGTAGGTTACGTTTGTAAGTTATATTTTATCCTAAGTGTAACAGGAAGTCATTGAAAGGTTTTTGGCAGAGACTGACCTGGCCTGATTGGTGTTTGAAGTTCACACTGGGAGCTGAGGGGATAATGGATTGTCTGTCTTCTCAGGAGGCAGGAGATACCATTCTTATTTGCTATTTATTTACTTATACCTGCCTGTGCCCATTGGAGTGCCAGCTCTGTAGAAGCAGGGACCTCATCTAATTTTGCCACTGCCATGTCACTAGTAGCTGGAAAAGTGCCTGGTCTAGAGTAGGCCCAATAAATATTTGTTGAATAAGTGAGTGAATTAATTAAAATGAAAAGAACAGAAGGAGAGAGGCAGGAATCACACAAATGAACATGAAGGTGAGTCTAAGAGGAAAAAACCACCCAGTGCAGAGAAAGCACCTCTGGGGCTGGGGGCAGTAAAGGGTGGGGCCTAGAGGTAGCCATGACAAGAAGTGGATGCAGATCCACCAACAGGACCTGCTGACCTATTGGACATGGCCACTGACGGAAGACATTTAGTATTGAGATGAGCTTCGGTCCCTCAGCCCTCCAGGGGACACATGAGTTCAAGATGAGTGAGTGAGTGACTGTTTTCCAGGTTGTTTATTAGCTATTGGTATAGAAAAGCTGCAGAATTGCAAGCATGACTTTCCAAATAATGAGATTCTATCACTGCAAATAGGAGAATAAAAGGGCTATTTTTCTAGCATCTCTCAGACAGTTGGTAGCAGTCTCTCTGTGATGCTTTCTTCACCACTTTGTCCCTTCATCTCCTGGTGTTTCTGTACGGTTTCCACAGCCAGGTTTCCATGACATCACAGCGGTCCGTTTCATCCATTCTGTCAAAAAAAAAAAAAATAACTGGTTGTGGTGGAGGGAGTGCTTTTCCTGCTCGTGAACAAATGTGTCCATTCTCCACACCCCAACACACACACACACACACACACACACACAAAACCACCTTTGCTCCTAACACTGATCTGGGTACACAGGTATTTACAACTGTCAATTGACTTGCCCAGTTGGGTTGAAACAGCTTTCCTATTTAACAGAATGGCCCATCTGATTAATATTCATAAAGAGCACTTTCAGAGTTAAGGGTTCTTCCATTCTTGACTCTCAAAGTGATTCTCTTCAGATTTGTTGCTAAAGTCAGACACTATGGTTTTACAAATCAAGAATAAAATTCCTTTTATATGACTGTTCTCAAAGACCTGCTGTCATTTGACTGTCCTGATTTCAAAAGCTGTAATAGAGGAGACTGTTTTCATACATGTATATGAAGCATGTTTTCCTTTTTTCCTTCAATCTCCCTGTTCAGAATTTGTTGGCCAGCCAGCCCCCTGTGATGGGTCTTATTCGGGATGTTCATTTCTGTGACATGGATGTTTGGGCTGAGCTCACAAAGGGTTCATTTACAAGTTTTGGAAAGTCTTCATTCTCTAGATCCAAGACGTGCCCTTCTGTGGCACAGTGGGCTATTGAATCCCTGCCATGGTGACTGGTGGATGCGTGTCACTGTCAACATTCTCAAACCATAAAGCTATGGTGATTGAATAAATAACATAAGCTCTCAGTCACACCAGGCACCAGGCTTGACTATAGCATACTGGCTTTCTGAAGTCGGTGCCTCTGCAGAAAGTGGGCAACTCATGAAAACAATTGACAAGCTGTGGTGTCTTCTTAGGCCAAATGCTCCTGCAAGGCAGAAGTCACATAAAACACATCTTAATCATCGGAACTCTTTGTGAATCAGATAACAGAGTGAACATGCAAGGGGTTCTCTTATACCAACGATGTTTTGGAGGTTCAGAAATGTCCACAGGAATTGTCATTGTTCTAACTCAGTGCATTACACATCCAGTATCTATTGATTTCCCCATTCGTCCCCATAGAAGTGGACTTCTAGCAACTTTAAGAGCACTACAGAGGACCAAACCAGGCACCAAGCTGGGCAGCCTTATGGGTCCAGCTGGGAATTTTGTAGCCACCTTCCTGATGTCTGCAGGGTGGACATGTACATATATTTAAGTGTCTCATTTTCATAAAGAGCTCGGTGAAGGAACTCTTTGATAAATAGTTCACATAAATAAATGAATGTTTCATTTTTTTTTTTTATTGGTTGTTCAAAACATTACAGAGCTCAAGACATATCGTCTTTCATACATTCGACTCAATTGGGTTTTGAACTCCCCAAATACATAATACAGACTCACTTCTGTTACATACTCACATTTTTACATAATGGCATATTAGTGACTGTTGTATTCTGCTACCTTTCC